GTGGGAGCCGCTGGCACCAGCGCGAGAGCGAGAATCCCCCGCGCCCACCGGCCCTTCCTGAGCTGACGCCAGCTCCCGAGTTCTGAAGTCTTCGTGCTAAGGAGAAACCACATTCCAAAGACGCAAGAGCCTCCTGGTTGAGGCTTTGAGGCAAAAAGTTCAGGTTAGCAGCTCCAGCATAGAATCACAGAATCATAGAATCACAGAATCATAGAATCACAGAATCATACAATGCTTAAGGTTGGAAGGGACCTCTAGAGGTCACCTAGTCCAACCCCCTGCACACACAGGGTCACCTAGAGCACGTGGCACAGCATCACCTGCCCTGGTGCTCAGCGAAGCTCCGGTGAGGATCTCTGTGCCCGTTTGCACACCAGGATGGGGACAGATGGGCCTAAGCTCCCTGGCACCCTGCGCTGGCTGGATACGATGCAGAGCCCTTCCAGGGTGCCAGGAGAAGGGCCCCGTTACAGGCGCTGTGCCCGACGTGCAGCTAAGCTGGCTACAGTGCTCCCAGACCCAGCCTGGCACCGATCCGCGCAGCTCGGCCCGGGCACACGGCTTGGATTGGTACCCAATTGCTGCAACACCATCCCCCGTGGTCCCCCGTGCACCAGTGCCAGCGTTCAGCCACATCCCAAGTGCTGAGAGACCCAGAGGTCGCAGGAACGAAGTCTCTTCCTTCTGGAGACACCAGCTTGCTTGCAGTTAGCTCGGCTTGACTTGTCCTAACACTGCAACCTCCTTTCGGGTGGCTCGTGCCCCTGCCAGCGCCTTGGCAAACTGGGGGGTTTGCAAACCACCGAGCAAGGCGCAGAGCGCCCGGCCGGGTCCCGGCCTCGCCGCGCTCCTGCCCGCACAGCCAGGGAAAACGGGCTCCGAGTACGGCTGCTCCCGGCAAGCACAGCGAGTCCCCTCCTCGGCGAGGGCTGCTGCTCTGCGAGAGGGAATTAACTCACTGGAAGTGCAGGGAAATGGAAGCAGCAAATGCAGGGATGGGAGGTAGAGCCACGTAGCCTTGTGGTGGGTCTGGAGGATCCCACTTTCCTGGCGCAGTGGGTCCGGAGGATCCCGCTTTGCTGGCGCGGTGTGTCCGGCAAATGCAGGGATGGGAGGTAGAGCCATGTAGCAGCGTGGTGGGTCCGGAGGATCCTGCTTTCCTGGCTCTGCTTCGCCAGCCTGGCGGGCAAGACCTGCCCTCCCAGGCTTGGCACCTGCTCACCCCACTGGCTAAAAAGGACGAGAGCTCCAACTGAAAAATGGTATTTCCTAAACCAGAACCCTTGTTTCGTGCTGATCCCTGTTCACCACACCTCCCAGGCTTGGCACCTGCTCACCCCGCTGGCTAAAAAGGACGAGAGCCCCAACCAAAAAATGGTATTTCCTAAACCAGAATCCTTGTTTCGTGCTGATCCCTATTCACCATGAAAGAGGGGAAACATTAAAAATGTGTATTGGCCTTGGCTGAGCAACCATCAACGCGGCTTCCGAAGGGCCTCCACCTCGGTGTGGCCAGGCACGTCCCTGCCAGCAGTGTCCCATGTCACCAGCTCCAGCACCTCTTCTTTAAAGAGCTCCTCTTCTCCCATCAGGTTTTGTCCGAATTTCTGCCTCTTGCCCCTTCCCACCCTCTCTCATGCTCCTGGCTCCGGCCCTGCTCTCCCCAGCACACTCGGTTTCTCCCAGGACACCTGTACGTCAGGCTGGACTAATCCAGCCGGAAAGTGTCCCCCGCTTCCCAAGCACAGGAATCTGGTACTGCCACCAAACCTACCCGGATCCTTCCCCACGCCAAACTCCTCCCAATCCAAAGTCGCAAGTGGCCCCGAGGAAACTGGCCAAATATCTGAGCGAAGATCCCGCCTGGCATCTCCTGATCATCGCTGCTCTACCTGCTCTTAACCCTCTTCCAAACCGATTTGTCTGAAATAGGAGTGTTTAAACTGCAAGTTCTGTGACAGTTTTTTGTCTCCCCTTAGCCAAATGCCTACCATGTCTTCAGTTTTACAGCAGCATTGCTAAGACTGTTTAGATGTTTATGCAATTCAGACCATTTTTATGATAAAATATTGAAACTGATTTTTTTTTTCAAGTTTCAAACACAAAGTTCCCTTCGCTTTCCTTATCACCCTTAGCTACAACCCAGCAGAGCCTGGGGTTGCAAAGCTCCATAGGCAGGAACAGAACTGGCATCTCCAAATGGTGCCGATGGCTGACACCATTCCCAAAACTCCCAAATCCTTCCCTGCTGTGCCCAGGCTGCACACATCCTGCAGGGACGGACCTGAGCCCCACTACAGCCTACACAGCACGTTCAGGCACTTGCAAGGGACATCTGAATATTGTTTTTTATCCCAACCTGACCCTAAATAGGACCTTCCCTCCCCCCAACAAATTGCTTCTCCAACAATCTCCGCTTCGGCACCAACTTGCTGATTATAGCAGGGGGGAGAATAACTAATGGTCCTTTTTTCCCCCCTTTTCTTCTTTCCTCAGGAATGCAGGACCCTGGCAAATGGTTTTGCCCCTGGGCTGAGTCCTGGCCAGTTCCACCCCCTGCATGACAGAGTTAATGAAATCCCAGCGGAAGGGCCCTCCCCGCCTCCCGCTCCAGGACTTCAGCTGACTCCACTCCCGCTAATCCCATTACAAGAAAATAA